TCTCGCTCTTGCTCAGGCTGGTCTCGAACTCCTGACCTTAAGCGATCCACCCGCCTCGGGGCCTCCCAGAGTGCTAGGATTACAGGCGTGAGCCACTGCGCCCGGCCTGTTTTTCTTTTTTTATTAAAGTATAGTTTACATGCAGTAAAATTCACCCTTTTTGTTATATTTCCACAAGTTTTGACAGATATGTACAGTCATATAACTACCACCATAATCAAGATATAAAACAGTTCCATCACCCCTCAAAATTCCTTATGTACCTCTGTAGTCAACCCGTCCCTTTCCCCTCTAGCCCTTGGCAACCACTGATCTGTTTTCTTCCCCTGTAGTTTTCCCTTTAGCAGAATGTCATGTGAATGGAATTAAAAAGCCTCTCACTCTGGCTTCTTTCACTTAGCATAATGCATTTTAGATTCATCCACTTATTGTGTGTGTCAGTGATTTGTTCCATTTTATTGCTCAGTAGCATTCCATTGTATGGATGTACCAGTTTGTTTACCCATTCCTTAGTTGAGGCATATTTGGATTGTTCTCATTCTTTTTTTTTTTTTTTGAGGCATCGTCTCACTGTGTTGCTTGGGCTAGAGTGCCGTGCCATCAGCCTAGCTGACAGCAACCTCAAACTCCTGGGCTCAAGCGATCCTCCTGCCTCAGCCTCCTGACTAGCTGGGACTACAGGCATGCGCCACCATGCCTGGCTAATTTTTTCTATATATTTTTAGTTGTCCAGCTAATTTCTTTCTATTTTAGTAGAGATGGAGTCTCACTCTTGCCCAGGCTGGTGTTGAACTCCTGACCTTGAGCAATCCTCCTGCCTCAGCCTCCCAGAGCGCTAGGATTGCAGGCATGAGCCACTGCGCCCGGCCTGTCATGTCTCTTTAATTTCCTTTATTCTGAAACAATTCCTCAGTCTTTTTAAATATTTCTTGACCTTGACTTTTTTTAAGAGTATAGGTCCAATCTTTAAGAGTAGAATATCCCTCAATTTGCATTTGCCTGATGTTTCTCTATAATTAGATTCGGGTTATACATTTTTTGCAGGAATACTACTGAGGTGATGTTGTGTCCTAGGTACACCAAATCTGGGGGTGCGTGAAGTTGCTTGTCCCATATTGGTTATGTTAGCTTTAATCACTTGATTAAAATTGCATCTACCATGTTTTCCGCTGAAAGGTTGCTGTTCTTTCCTTTGTAGTTATTAATATTAGTAATAAGTAATTTGTGGTGAGGTGCTTTGAGATTATATAAATAATCCTGTTCCTCATCAAACTTTCACCCATTACCATTCATTTTAGCATCCATTGATAATTTTCTAGTTTATAATTCCTTTTGTATTTATTAACTGGCATTCTGCTCAAAGGAAGAGCTTTCTCTTCTCTCTCATTTTAAAATTTATTCATACATGTTTATACAAACATATGTATGAACTCATGAATTCTTATTTAATAGGTTATAATCTATTAGAATCAATTATTTTGGTGCTCAGAATGCCCCTGATTTGGCTATTGGGAACCCCTTCAAGTTGATTCATGTGTCCCCATGATTCTTTTTAGTAGTTCCTTACTTTCTGCCTTGAGAAGATATTCCAGGCTCATCTTGTATTTTCCATGCCCTGGCCCTGAGTTTAGTCATTTCTCCATGGAGTCATGGTTCCTTTCTTTCTTTTTTTTTCTTTCTTTCACCTGGTAATACCTGAAGAGAGTCCTGATTCCTTTTAGTGGAGATGGTATTTAGAGACCATAATGTGGCTGCTAGCTATGTGCTTGTTTATATTACTTCTAGGCCTTTTTAGCAGGCACAGTGCGCACGCACACACATAACACACACACACAGAGGCATTGATTTAGTTTTGTTCTAAAATAGATACTTAAGGAATGCATGCAGTAATCTTAATGTGATTTGTATCTGTCTCCATACTCACGTAGCCACCAGTTTGTTAGCAATTAGAATGAGGAATTTATAAAACTAGTTAAATGCCACCCGTGTGTGACATCTTTTAAAATTTTATGGACTAGAAATATCAGAGAGACAGTGTTGATCAGTGGGAAGAGCACCTTATCAACATTTTGATCTCATTACCTGCTTTGGGCATGTTAACCTTTTCCTCATTTAGAAAATGTTGATAATATTTATATTAAGGGTTGGGAAACTAACAAAAAATACCTGCTACACATTGTAGTTCCTCAGTAAACTATTGGCTTTTGCTTTCCCAGTGCATTTTCCTTTCTTCTTTTCCTATTTCTTTAGTCATGTCACTGGTTAAATGGTTGAAAATGATTTTATTTATTAAATTATAAATATCACATAAGTGTTTGGAAAAAATGAACTTGAATTTTTAGTAAAGAATGGGGAACATATCCAACTCATTGAAGCCCGTAGCATGGGAAAAGAGGATCTGATCATACCTCCCACCAGATTCCTGTGAGGTTTCTTTTTTTGTCTTCCAATTCTCAGCTCTTTGGGCTATATTTCAGTCCATGATGGGACCACATGCCTGCTCTCAGGTCAAGGGAGTTGCTGATTACAAATGAACTTTACTGTCTATTACCTATGTGCACTGCACAACCCATCTCTAATCAGAACAAACTGATTATTGAAGGGATGAAGGTTTTTGTAGGATTTTATGTTCTTCCAAACACTAAGAATAATAGTAACCATTTAAAAAAATTATTATTATTTTAAGCCAGGGTCTGCTCTGTTGCCTGAGCTAGAATGCAGTGGTGTCATCATAGCTCAGTGCAACCTCAAACCCCTGGGCTCAAGTGATCCTCATGCCTCAGCCTCCTGAGTAGCTGGAACTGTATACAGACGTGTACCACCATTCCCAGCTAACTTGTGTATTTTTTTGTAGAGACAGGGTGTCACTGTGTTGCTCAGGCTGGTCTTAAACTGGCCACAAGCAATCCTCCCACCTGAGCCTCCCAAAGTGCTAGGATTATAGGCCTGACCTTAAAGATTATTTTAATAACTTTATTGAGACATAATTCACATGCCATACAATTCACCCATTTTAAGTGTACATTCAGTGGTTTTTAGTATATCACAGAGTTGTACAGTCATTACTGCAATTAATTTTAGAACACTTTCATCACCCCAAAAGAACTACATACCCATTAGTAGTCCCTCTTTGCAGTCTCTGGCAACCACTAATCTACTTTCTGTCTCTATTTATGGATTTGCCTATTCTGGATATTTTATAAAAATGAAATCATACAATATGTGGTCTTTCATAACTGGCTTCTTTCATTGAACATAATGTCTTCAAGGCTTATCCATGTCGTTGCATATTCCATGTTGTAGCACATATCAGTATTTCATTCCTTTTTTTTAAGCTTTCAAAATTTTAAATTATTTATTTATTTAGTTTTAGAGACAGGGTCTTGCTCTGTCACTCAGGCTAGAGAACAGTGGCAATGATCATAGCTCACTGCAGCCTTGAACTCCTGAGCTCAAGCAATCCCCTAGCCTCAGCCTGATAAGTAACTGGGACTACAGGTGTACACCACCATACCCAACTGATTTTTTTTTCATATTTTTAAAGATGGCATCTTGTTATGTTGCCTAGGCTGGTCTCAAATTCGTGGCTTCAAGTAGTTTTCCTGCCTTAGCCTCCTGAGTTGCTGGGATTACGGGCTTGAGCCACCAAACCTGGCCTTCATTCCTTTTTATGACTGAATAATATTCCATTGCATAAAGGCTCCAATTTCTCCACATCCTGTCATCACTTGTTATTGTCTTTTTAATTTTAGCCATCCTAGTGGGTATGAAGTGGTATCCCATTGTGATTTTGAGTTGCATTTCTGTAATGGATAATGATGCCGAGCATCTTTTCATGTGCTTATTGGCCATACATAATATCTTCTTTGAAGAAATGCCTATTCAAATCCTTTGGCCATTTTGGGTTATCTGTCTTTTAATTAATATTATTGCATTGTTGTAAGAATTCTTTAACAACCACTTTTTGAGGGCCTAGTATGTGCCAGGACCACACTAGGTGCTTCACATGCACTTCTTTGTATTAATATAATCCTCATAAAAACCCTGCATAGTAGGTATTATACCCTGTTTATAGATTGGGAGATTGATGACCAGAGTTAAAACAATTTATCTAAAGAGGGTCTTAAGTGGTAGGAATCAAGGTTCTAACCACCTTCTGAATTCAAAGCTCCTGTTTGGTTGGCTACTCTGCACATCCAGTCTTTGGACATTGTTGGAGCAAAACCTGTTTTAGGCCTATAATGAAAATTTTCAGGAATCCAGAGAATTCATATACCAAGTATGACATTCTGCTGGTCAACCTTCAAGGTCCCTTTCAACATTTTTCGTACCAGATTTATTCCAGGAAATTATATATGTAAACCAAAAAAAATTTTTTTGAGACAAGCACAAAAATGAGGTTTATTGAGGAGAGAAAGCTAGGATTATAGGGCAAGAGCAAGACATAGGTTTACAGAGCATGATACATATGCCATAGATAACAACCAGACCCATTGTCACAGCAAAAGGCGAGCAAAAGAAAGGCGGGGGGCAGGGGGTGGGGAATTAGCCAAATTTTAAAAATAAGTAAAACCAACCAGAATTTAGTTTCTACTAAAAACTTTATATATAAAGAAATCATGAGGAACATCCTTTTGCAAATGTGAATAATCTCTTTCTGAGTTTAAATTGGTATATTCAGTTTCCTTAGAGAAGGGTACATATCATAAATTGTAAGGAATGAAGGGTTTACAGAAAATATTGATTAAACTTTACCTATTAACTTCTTTACTAATCTGGATGAAGAGTTGGTTAATCAGTTGCTCCTTGAGCTTTTCAAAACAAACGAGATAAGGCGCTATCTGTGACCTTTGAGAATATATTAAAAGGTGGCAGGTTTGGAGAAGGGCACATGATGATTAAAAGCTGAAAAGGTGGACAATTCATGAAATGTAATTGGCTTGTGGAGGAGAACTATGTTGCCCAGGCTGGTTTCAAACTTTTGCCCCCAGTGATCCTCCCGCCTCAGCCTCCCAAGTCGCTGGGATTATAGACATGAGCCAGTGCACTTATTCAGATTTATGACTAAAAAGATGGGTATACCATAGATAATTCTGTTCTGAACGGAACAGGAAAGAATTAGGATTTAGGCAAGGGAGAACTCAATGCGATTTCAGTTCCATTCAGTCACTATTTATTTATTTATTTATTTATTTATTCTGAGGCAGAGTCTCACTCTGTTGCCCTGGCTAGAGTGAGTGCCGTGGCGTCAGCCTAGCTCACAGCAACCTCAAACTCCTAGGCTCGAGCGATGGGACTACAGGCATGCACCACCATGCCTGGCTAATTTTTTCTATATAGTTTTAGTTGTCCGATTAATTTCTTTCCATTTTTAGTAGAGACAGGATCTCGCTCTTGCTCAGGCTGGTCTCGAACTCCTGATCTTGAGCGATCCGCCCGCCTCGGCCTCCCAGAGTGCTGGGATTACAGGCGTGAGCCACCGCTGCTGGCCAGTCACTATTTATTAAATGCCTCTTGTGTGCTGGGAACTGGCAATACAAAAAACTTTTTTTTTTTTTTTTAAAGATGTGGTATCTGCTCTTGAGGAGCTGAAATTTAGTAGGGTTTCACAGAAAGGGCGTTTCCTGGGCTGGGTCTTGAAGAGGGAATTGGAGTTTGCCAAGATGGAGGTATTCCAGGCACATGGAACAGCTGCAGGGAAGGCATGGCAGCACGAGGTAGCATGTATGCTCGGAGGACTGCTATAGTCAGCACAGTTGCAGCTTAGGTCCCATTCCATTTTCATGATATTTATGATTCCTCTATAGGCTCACTTTTCAGCCTAGACCTCTCTGCTAAGCTCAGGATTCTCATATTCTACTGCCTTCTTGTCTCACAACATGTCATGCTTAATGTGGCTAAAACAGAACTTTGATCCCCTTTACTCCCACTGCATTCTTTCCTTGTCTCAGTCAATGGCAGTACCATCACCCAGTGGCTCAGACCAAACACCTGGATAATCCTTGCCACTTCCCTCTTATATCTCCTGCTCCTCCAGCAGCAAGGCCTGTGGATTCTTTTTCTATGTTGAATCTACTTCCTTTTCTCCATCTCCACTGGCAAGCTGCCTCCCAGTCCAGGCTACTATCCCCTCCTATCCGGACTTCCACAACAGGGGTTCTTGCCCACCCTCCCTCCTTTCATTCTACACACTGCTGTAAGAATAATCACAAATCAAACTATTTCACTTCCCTGTTATTTCTGTGGCTTCCCAAATTCCCTACTTTGGCTGGCCTGCATGATCTGATCCCTACCTAGTTCTCCAGTTTCATTGTAGTGACTGTGGTCTTGTTTTAAATTCTTTTAACATGCTAGACTCTTTTCTGTTCATACCTAACACTTGAAGCTCTGGAGCCATAACAGTCATGGCTATTGTGCTTTACTGTGGCCCAGGTACTCTGCCAGGTGCCTTCTACACAGGATTCCATTTGATTGCACAAAGCCATTGGCGCCCTCCATCTTCTTCCCTACCTCCCCACTGGGCACCGGGATGAAGTAACTTGCTCAGAATCATTGCCAGTGAGTGGAGGAGGCCGTTGGCATTCTAGCCAAGGACTTCATGGCTGTGAAGGCTGTGCTCCTTCTGCCACATCGGGCTATTTATCTTAGTTGTTGCCAGTGGGCAAATGGTTGTTAAATTCATGTCTTGCATTGCAGGAAAAAAATAAATCTTGAATTCAGCCTCTGCTTATTTCCCACTCCCTTTTCACCTGTTCTAATTCCCATCATCTCTGTCTTGGACTTCTGTAATAGCCTCTTAATTGACCTCCCTGCCTCTCACTTTCCCCCTTACAGTCCATCTTCCAGCTGGCAGCCAGATTGGTGTTTTGAAACATGTCGGTTGGATTATGCCACTCTCCAGCTTATACCCTACCATTCTTATTGTACTTAAAACTGAAACGCCTGACTGTGACCTGTAAAGCCCCTTGCTATCCTTGCCTTCTGTGTTTCCCTGACCTTAGATCCTGTTCCAGCTGCCCTGGACTTCTTTTTTTTTTTTTTTTTTTGCCCGGGCTAGAGTGCCGTGGCGTCAGCCTAGCTCACAGCAACCTCAAACTCCTGGGCTCAAGCAATCCTACCGCCTCAGCCTCCCAAGTAGCTGGGACTACAGGCATGCGCCACCATGCCCGGCTAATTTTTTCTATATATTTTTAGCTGTCCAATTAATTTCTTTCTATTTTTGGTAGAGACGGGGTCTCGCTCTTGCCCAGGCTGGTCTCGAACTCCTGAGTTCAAACAATCCGCCCACCTCAGCCTCCCAGAGAGCTAGGATTACAGGCGTGAGCCACCGCGCCCGGCCCTGCCCTGGACTTCTTATATTTCTTTAAATTGCTAAGCTAGTTTGTACCTCAAGTTCTTTATACAGAAGTTCCCTCAGGCTAGAACTTCCCTACCTAAACCTTTGTAGGACTGGCTCATTTACATATTTTAAGACCTACTTTAAATATCACCTACTCAGGGAAGCCTTCCCTGATCATGCTATGGAAAACAGTACACCCTACACATAAATATACTCTTTATCCCCTTTAACCTGTCTTATTTTTTTCATAGTAAAGATATTCTTTCTTTCTTTCTTTCTTTCTTTTCTTTTTTCTTTCTTTCTTTCTTTCTTTCTTTCTTTCTTTCTTTCTTTCTTTCTTTTCTTTCTTTCTTTTTTCTTTTCTTTCTTTTTTTCTTTTCTTTCTTTCTTTCTTTTTCTTGTTAATTGTTTCTTTCCTCTACTAGCACATGATGTTCATGAGGAAAGCTTCTTTGGTATACTGTAATATATTTTCAAGAACATATCTGGTACCTAATGAGCTCATTATTAGTTGAAAAAATGGGAAGAAAAGCTTAATTGTTTTATGTGCAGACTGAAGATTTCCTTTGGACAAGAGTCACAACATCTTTATTCTTAGGGTTTTTGAAAATTACTATTGTATAAATGTTGAAAAACTTAGTACCTATGGGACTCTGTGAATTGAAACTGATTCTTTCCCCCAGTTCCTTTAGAACTCATCAAATTGAGGCTATTCCAACCAGCTCTCCAGGTGATGGATTTAAGGCAAATCTTGTGTTTAAGGAGATTGAGAAGAAGCTTGAAGAGGTAAGATTTATCTTAAATATTACAGGGAGGACCCTGAGGCTAGAGGAAGCAGACATGGGTTTCAGGTGTTGTCAAAGGTGGTACAAGTTGAAAATTTATCCCACGTCCAGTGTTAAGTGTATTTAGATTTCTGAGTGTCTATTAAAGCTTCCTTGTAATTCTAGTAAGAATGCGTTTCACAAATGTATAAACCTCCAGATTTAAAGACCTATAATCAATACTGTTAAAATTGTCACTCTTTTTTTCTAAGTCCTCTTTGTCAAAGGGATATTCAATTATGGACAGAGTTCATATATAAAGGGGTTCTAATTTATTTTGGTATAATTTCCTTCTGAATTAAAAAGGTCTTACTTAGAATCATTCCATTTCTTCCAGAAGTGGAAAGGAAAAAAGAAAAAAAAAATCTTTCCAAAGAATAATATTTAAAATAAGCCTTTAATATAACAATAATAATAATGTCCTAATATCAAAATTATTTTAAAAAAGAAATTGTGTTTGATTTTTAAGTGTTTGATTTTTGTAAAAATGATGCTAAATTTAAAAAACTTTACACTATACAGAAACCACATAAAAAATAAAAATTTAAAATCTCCCTGAATTCTGCCACTCAGAGTTCACTAAAATGTTAACAGTGGTTAACATAATCTGTCAAACATCTTTCTCTGTGTATATAAATTTACAATTATACATACCTAGGGTCATATGATATCTTTTTTTAATACCTGTTTTTTAAAATTATGCTATATATACAGATCTATTTTTATGTATATTAACAAATAATTCTTGATAGATGATAACCACACTAAGGCAATCTAACAGTAACTCTTTCTCCAAAAAGAGTTATTCTCATCAGGCAAAATTAGATTATTTATTTCATTGTTTTAAACTCAGAAGCATCTTGGGATTTCATTATCGGTTTTAGATTTGAGAACATGTAAGGCATGGTTACAGCCACAGTCACAATTCAAATTACACATCTGTAAAGGTGATCAAAGTGGGCTGAAATAAACAAAAGGATTCAGAACTTTAAGCTGTGTATTTCACTCATGTTAGAGCCACAGTGTGAGAGGCAAATGTGGTGCATATCACATAACTCCATCATTGCAGGGCAGAGGACTTATTAACATCTCAGAGGATTGCAGTGTGGTTGGGAAAACAGCTGATGTAACTGTGTTTTGTGAAAGGACCCAGTGTTTCCAGGATTTTCGTAACGATCCACAACCTTGCTAAGGGACAGCAGGACCAGGTGTTAGCCCAGGAGCTGCAGACCTGTCATGCTGCCATCTTGTGGGGATACACTTGCATGGGGCTACCTGTTTTATAACCTGCTTTTTTCTCTTGACAGCATGTTCCATGGCCATAAATATAAATCCTTACCCTAATATAAATACATAGTACGTATTCATTTAACTAGCTTGCTATGATGAATATCAGGTCGTATTTAAAATTTGCAAGTAAAACAGTGTTGTAATAAATTTCTTTTTGCACTCATCTTTAAGTGCTTATGCCATGATCAATTTAGTATAAATAATTAAAGGAAGGAAATTGTTGAGTGATTGGATATGTACATTTTGCATTTTGATACATATTTCCAAACTACCCACCAAAAAGAAGATACTAATTTACTAACTTATTAACAATTCATGAGAGTAACTGGTTTTTTCCCCCCCACACCTTCTCCTATACTATATTGTCTGTTTTTTAAAAAATCTTTGTAGCAGGGTACGGTAGCATGTGCCTGTAATCGTCTCAGCTAGTTGGGAGGCTGATGCCAGAAGATTGCTTGAGCCCAGCCTGGGCAACACAGTGAGACCCAGTCTCTTAAAACAAAATCAGACTTTGCCATTCTAGTCAGAAAAAAATATCTGACTTATTATTATTATTTTTAAAAATTTCTTTCATTATAAGGGTTCAGCTTAAAAATTATCTTGTCTGTATGCTGCCAATATTTTCCTACAGAGCAACCCATGAGACAGTTGCATCTGCTAAGTTGCTCCATTTTTTTCAACCCTATTCTATCAACAAAAATCAGATTTAAAAAGTAGTATAGAGATTATCTATTATGAAGTATGAGATACGGCTCTGTACCAGTCATTGAATACTTCATTATTGGGATGAACAAAGCAGTGTTGATTTTATTTTGTAGTATTCTTTTAGCTTTGCAAATGTATACCTCTTGCTCCCATTTTAATATTCTTTCCCTCCATAACCTCACCCCCACCAACCTTCTCCCCTTGTTTCTTTTCTCCTTCCCACGATTGTCAGTTACCTAAGTGTTTACAGTATTAGAAAGTGAAAGTCTTGGAGTCTTTTGTTAATTCATAAATTTTCTGCATTAGCAAAGGCAGCCTGGCAAGAGATTTTATTTCCACTTTTGTCTTTGTTAGCAATACTCCACTGCCCTTCTTTGAATTCTGTCTTAATTTTTTGTCCCTATTAAGTTTACGGCAGGACCTACTCCTTGACCTTTTACCTACTCAGAAAAAAGTACTTTTCTTCACGTAAGGAGGCATTTAGAACTTTCTTAGTACTAATGAGCTCCGGTTTCACAACTGTATTTTCTTTTCCCTTTTAACAATTCTCTCCTCATCTATTTCCTTACTCTCTCTCACTCCCACTTCAATTGAAAATGTTTGTTGACCAAAGGATGTAATTTTATAAGAGAGTGAGTTGGTTCTCAAAAGTAACAGCAGGTGCAAATTAATCTACAACTGTTTTAAGGAGGTGGGAGTATAGTAGTAAGAGTATAAGAATTTCTCTTCAAGTATGCAGGTAAATGTTTGCTGGTGTTTTCCTGCTCTAACTTGTTGGTGGCTGCTCATAGCTGTATTCGTGGGGCATTGTGCAAGCAGATGACATGGATGCACCTGGAAGTAGTCATTCACGGGCCACTGGCCCCAGAGGAAGCCAGGCTCTTGGGTGGCCTAGCACACCAACATTATTAATACACTCTCCTAGATTGTCTCCACAGAACCTTGAGAGATAAAAGATTTTAAGGAATGTGGAAAAGACTTTGAACTTTCTTTTTTTTGAGACAGAGTCTTGCTCTGTTGCCCAGGCTAGAGTGCTGTGGCGTCAGGCTAGCTCACAGCAACCTCAAACTCCTGGACTCAAGCGATCCTTCTGTGCCAGCCTCCCGAGTAGCTGGGACTACAGGCGTGCACCACCATGCCCAGCTAATTTTTTCTACATATTTTTAGTTGTCCAACTAATTTCTTTCTATTTTTAGTAGAGACGGGGTCTCACTCTTGCTCAGGCTAGTCCTGAACTCCTGACTTTGAGCAATCCTCCTGCCTCGTCCTCCCAGAGTGCTACGATTATAGGCGTGAGCCACCACTGGCCTGAACTTTCTTTTAATTAATTTTATGATGGCAGGTACTGCTCTGCTGTCATAGGCTAAAGTTTGGAAGTGTTGATGTAACCTACAGTTTTAGTATGGTATGGTAAAATGGAAAGAGCATTGGATTTGGTAGTAAACCTACCTGGGATTGAGTTCTGGCTGTAGTACTTACTAGCAATATGTTCCTGCCCCTCAGGGAGCAGAGAGTTTAGTGGGAAGAGAGACATGGAAAAATTCTTCCAGAAAAAAAGCAACTACTTTAATAAGAAACATGGGTGCTTGTGCAGAGGGCTATCAGTTTCTGGCGGAGATAGAGAATCCTTTCCCAAAGAGTTAGCATGTAAGCTAAGACTTGAATGATGAGGTCAGGGGTGGGAGTGTAGACTAGGAAGAGGTGAGTGTCCTGGGATGGGGCATGGAAGCATCAGAGGACTTGGCACATGTGTTCATGGAATTCAAAATGATCGGTATTGTTATAACTTAAAGCTGGAGAGGGATGAGAAGGTGACTGGAAATAATAGAACTTAAAGCCCAAAGTGGATGAGAAAGTGACTGGAAATAAGAACAGACAAATATCCTTCAAATCTTGAGAACTCTTGAATGATATATAAAGGCAGACTTCATCTTGTTGGCTATGGCGAGCCATTAAGAAATTCAAGCCTGAAAGTGTTAGATGTGTATGTTAGTGTTAGCTGGGTTTAGTTAGATGGATTACTTGGCAGCAGTATAGGGAATAGTCTAAAGGGTTCTTTTATGAACCTTAGTTGCTTTTTCTGCTTAATGAGCTAATATTAATGTCTACTCAACTACTTATAGGGTTTTATGAAGATCAAAAAAATTATATATATAGAAGTACTTGAAAACTTAAAAGCACCCCAGAAGGATTATTCCTGTTCTTAACAATTTTTCCTAAAATTAATTTAAAGTCATTTGAGTGAGCTCTTTTAAGGGAAGCCAAAATGAGAGAATTTCTCTTTCACTTAAAAAACTTGACAGTCATTTTGGTTTCTTGGTTTAACTAGGAAACATTAGTTAATTTCAGGACACCTGCATGTGTAAGAGATAACTCCATAACTATTGAGATAACTCCATAACTATTGAGATAAGTAGGCCCAGACTAAATATTTATAGAACAACTGTTTTGTCCTAAGACCTATGGTTGATTCCAGGTAGGCTCAGGGGTGGTACTTATATATCAGAAAAAGATTGACATACCCAGTAGGATACCTAAAATAAAAAAAGACAATGTCAATTGTTGGTGAAGATATGGAGAAATTGGAACCCTTATTCATTGCTGGTAGGATTGTAACATGTGTAGCCACTTTAGAAAACAGGTTGGTAGTTCCTCAAAAAGTTAAACATCACTTTATGACCCCAAAATTCCACTTTTAGATATATACCTAAGAGAAATTAGAGCCTATGTTCATGCAAAACTTGTACACAAATGTCCACAGCAGTATTGTTCATAACAACCAAAAAGTGGAAACGACCATCAACTGATGAATAAACAAAATATACTACATCCATACAATGGAATATTTTCTGAGTATAAAAGGGAATGAAGTACTGATTGATCTTCAACATGGACGAACCTTGAAAACATTATGCTAACTGAAAGAAGCCAGTCACAAAAGACCACATATTGTACAATTTCATATATGTGAAATGTCTAGAATAAGCAAATCTATAGAGACAGAAAGTAGATTAGTGGTTGCCAGGGGCTGGAAGGAGAGGTGGGGATGCGGAGTGACTGCTAATGGGTAGAGTTTCTTTTGGGGGTAATGAGAATGTTTTAAAATTAGATAGTGGTTTTGGTTGCACAACTCTGAATATACTAAAAAACCATTGAATTAAATACTTTAAAAGAGTGAATTTTTATATTGAGATATATAAATTATATCTCAGTTGCTGTTATAAAACAAAACACAACAAAAAGAAAGAATGGCGTTAGGCCAGGTTCTCTGCATACATAGAAACAGAGGTTAGTATCTAATGTCAGTTTATGTAAATTCCTCAGGGGCAATAATGATTTGAGTATTTCAGGTACTTTATCACAGTTCGTGAACATAGTAAACACTTAAATTAAGTCTTTGTTAAAAGAATGAATATTATGATACCAAAAGGAACAATTTTGCATATAAATTATTGCAGGGATATAAGGCTGAAATGAAGGTGGGAAATAAAAGCTATTAGAAATTATAAGAGATCTCGGCTAGGTGCGGTGGCTCACGCCTGTAATCCTAGCACTCTGGGAGGCCGAAGCGGGCGGATTGTTTGAGCTCAGGAGTTCGAAACCAGCCTGGGCAAGAG